GCCCCCGGGCACCTGCGGGACACAGGGAGCGGTCAGGGCGGTGCCCCTGGCCCCCGGGCACCTGCGGGACACAGGGAGTGGTCAGTGCGGTGCCCCCAGCCCCCGGGCACCTGCTGGACACAGGGAGTGGCCAGGGCAGTGACCCCACCTCATCCCCGGCCTGCTGGACCCCTTCTTGGCTCCCTCTTCCAGCTTCCAGGGCCTCTGCCCTCCTGCTCCACCGGTTCAGGACTGTCCTCCTTGAATTCATTTCTTCCAAAACATTTCCCAAGTGTGTACGAGGTGCAGTTCCTCATGTGTGAAGTCTCAGTAGGGGACTCCAGAGAGATGGATGTTTTGGAGGAAAATGAAGCAGGCACGGTCTAACTGGAGAGTGATGGGCACAGGTGTGAGGTAGGCGAGAGAGCAAGACTGGGGTACCTAGGGAAAGAGAGCCTGCAGGAGGGAGACAATGTCCCAGGAGAATGGCCACCCTGTTTGTATTTGGGGACCAGGGGCATGACCAGGATAAGGGGAGCTCAGATCAGGAGGAAAGGAGACCGCAGGCCCAGGCAGGATCTGCAGGGAGTCTGATAACTTTGCATGTTCCAAGAAGCAGGTGGAAATTGTTACAGTATGTATAGCAGAGGGTGAAATGATCTGATGCACCTTCTTTGTTTTGGGGGTAGACAGGGTCTCACTCTGGCCCAGGCTGGGTGCAGTGGTGCCACCACAGCTCACTACAGCCTCCAGCTCCTGGCCCCCAGCAATCCTCCCACCTCAGCCTCCCTATGTGCTGGGATGACACGTGTGAGCCACTGTGTGTGGCCTGATGTACACTATGAAGAAGTCATTTAGACTTGTAGTAGGAATAGAGTTGTGTGGGAGGCAGCCTCAGACCGGTTTTCATCCGCTGCAATGAGATGCTGACAGCTCGAATCCAAGTGGTGGCACTGGAGGTTCTGGGGGGCTAGTTGGATTCTGGATGTGTTTTAAGGTAAAGCCAGAGAGATTTTCTGATTTATCAAATCAGGCTGTGATAGAACAGGAGAAAGGTAGAATGGCTCTAAGTGTTTCATTTGGAAACTGGAAGGCTGGAGGTGCACTGAGGGGGTGGAGAGCCTTCTGGAGGCTCTTCATTGGGTGGTAGTATGCAGTTTACATGGGTCAAGTTTGAGGAGCTCATAAGCATAAAAGATCATGAAGGGAGCAGGCGTGAACAGAAAGTGGTCCCACAAACGAGCCCTGAGGGGCTCTGACCTTTGAGAGGTGGGGAGATGAGGGAGCCCCAGCTGTCACACGTGAAGGGTTGCCAGGGAGAAAAGGAAGGTCCTGAAGCCAAGTCAAAGGACAAACCATTCATCTCCAGTGATGTGGATGGGGCAAGACGAGGATAGATGGTCAGACCTGTTCAGGGCAGGGGCCATCAGCAGTCTTGGTTACAGGAATTTTGTTGGAGTGGTAGAAGCAGAACCTTGGTGGAAATTCATAGGATTTCGAGGAGAAGTTAAAGACGTCGACTGTACACCATTTTCTGGTGGGACCATGCAAATGGGGCAATAGCTGGATGGTTTTCAAAGACAGAACACACACACACACACACACACACACACACACACACACACACACACAGAGAGAGAGAGAGAGAGAGAGAGAGAGAGAGCGCCCACAAGAGAGAGAGAGAGAGAGAGAGAGAGAAAATGTGACCTGATCAAATTGCTATTGAAGATGAGTGATGGAGGAGGGGATGCAATGCCTGTAATGAGGCTGTGTCTTGAACCTGTTCTCCATCATTCTCACTAGGATTCAAGCCCACTGTGGACTCTCCCATAACAGAATCCTCCCAGAAAGTATGTATTTTTCTCCAGCCCTGTTCTATCTCTTCCACACCCAAACTGGTTGAAAGAGTTGACTACAAAGCCAGTCCCCAGTTTGATGTCTTCCGTGGACTCTGACCTTGTCCATCTTTTCTCTCTATCCCTCCACTGTACCTATTCCTGCCAAAGTCCCCAAGGGCATCCACGTCCCCAGCCCCAGCACACAGTTCTCAGTAACCGTGTAACACGCTAAGGCCTCCCGGAAGTGTCAATCAATTGCTGAGCCAAACTTGGGAGTCACTGGTGACTCTCCTCTTCCTCTCTTCCTGAATAACCCATCCAGAAAAATCACATCAAGCACATTCTACTTGCAACATGTTTTACTTCCACTGATGAGTTTGCGTGTTCATCATCTGTCACTACGATTTCTCTAGGCATTTTTAAGTGGATTTCCCCAATCCCACTCTTGTTTCCTTACTCCCACCCTACCGCCATCTCTTCTCATAGCAGCCCAAACCATCATTTTAAAACCTCACTGCCATCCAAAAATCACTGAATGTGGACCATCACAGCAACAGGACCATGAAGAAAAACCACACGTTCACATCAATAGATGCAGACAAACCACTTGACAAAATCCAGCACCCATTCGTGATTTAAAACCCAAAAACCCTCAGCAAACTATGATTAGAGGATAGCTTCTTCAGTTTGATAAGGGACACCTACAAAACCCTTCAGCTAACATCATACTTAACAGCGAGAAATTAGAAGTTCTCCCAGTAAGATCAGGAAGATAAGGAAGATCAGGAAGAGGGCAAGGCTCCCCTCTCACCACTGCTTCTCATTGTCACATGGAAGTCCTGGCCAATGCAATAAGACAAGAAAAGGAAATACAAGGTATACAGATTGGGAAGGGAGAAATAAAAGTCTTTGTCTGTTAATGACATGATTGTCTTATGAAGGAAATCTCTGTCCTGCCCAAAATCCTACATCATAATTCATTGTATAGAGGATATAAATCAAAGCCCTTACAATGTCCTGAAAAACCCCTGAGTTTTTCTCCAGTCACAATCATGCCGTCCTTCTTTTCTCCCTCAATTTCAGTTACTCTGACTGTTCAGTTGAAGAAAATGCGGCCAGGCATGGTGGCTCCTGCCTGTTATCCTAGCACTTTGGGAGGTGGAGGCAGGAGGATCACTTGAGCCCGCGAGTTGGAGACCAGCCGGGGCAGCTTAACAAGACCCCATCTCTACCAAAAATATGAAAAATGAGCCAGGCGTGGTGGCACACACCTGTAGACTCAGCCACTCAGAAGGCTGAAGTGGGAGAATCACCTGGGCCAGGGAAGTTGCGGCCAGTGAGCTGTGACAGCACCACTGTACTCGTCCAGACAACAGAAGTGAGACCCTGCCTCATAAAAAAAAAAAAAAAAAAATGCAGCAAGTCCTTCTATCTCCCCAGGTCTTCAGGCCTGCTCTTATCTCCCTAAATCCTGTTCCCAGGGCCATGGCAGAGGCCCCCTCTGACTCCACCCTCACGGCGCATTCCCCTGCTGATTGGCCTCTGGACTCTGTTTGAAGCTTTGGGAGGTGCTCAGCTGGGGGAGTGGGGTGTGTCGGCGGGAGCAGCCCTCAGTCACTGGGCCCTCAAAGCCTCAAAGCTGTCCAGCATCCCGATGGCGAGGTGTACTCCAAGTTGCTCCCCTCAGAGCACCTCCAGTAGGATGGGGCCCAGTGCCCACAGGAGCAGCCAGGTGTCACCACGGCCTCTGGAATGTCCCCTCCTGCCTGGCCTCTCTCTCCCCACTTCCTGTCTCTAGTTTCCTGGGATCAATCTCCCAAATGAACCACCTGCACCCAAATCCACATCTCAAAGCCTGTTTGTGGGAGAACCCAGGGGAAGATTTAATAACGACGTCCTAAGAAAGTTCTTTCCCGATGTCACAAACCGTATTGGTTGCCTTTTTCACATTCACCAAGAACACCCCATATGTCTCCTTCAGAGAAGTAATTATAACTTGTAATTGTCTGTTCCTTGGGTAACTTCTGGGTGGACCCCTCTCCAGAATGAAGGCGTCATGTGGTCATGACCGGGGCGTTCTGTGCTGCTCACACACTGAGAACACATGAGAGGCCACCAGTACATTTGTGTGATTTTGTTATTCCTGTTGCATGAAAGAATAAACAGATTTTTTTTTTTTAAGGTGAAGCGATATGGACGAAATGAGGGGAGGAAAGCAAACGGAAAGTAAACTGTGAAATGAAAATAAATTGGGCTGGAATCTCTTCCTGGTTGAGGTTTGGGCGTTGAGTCCACCGGTGTTTGACAGTGGAGACCAAACAAACGCTCGGGAGAAATGGACAGGGCCAGACTTCTCCCATCCACCTTTCTACCCCCTCCTAATTCAGCACTCCGCCTTGAAAATAACTGCAACTGTTGAATATTTGAGTGATCAATTACATGGGAAATTCTTAGAGCCTGTTTTCTGTTTAAAGATCTCGGAATTTCTGGAAAGGATCGGTTTGTCCCATTCAAAATATTTGGATGACCTGATTCCATTCTAACTCCCATCCATCTTGCTATACGGTTGGTTTTCGCATCTTCTATCTCATTTAAATGCTATCACCATGCCGTTGGAGATGCTGAAAAGTACATTTCTGCCTTTGCGTTAAACCGGGGCTGAGAGACTGGCCCGGGGTCGGTGCCCGCCCAAGATGGACCCTGCCTCGCCCGCCCGTGC